TCCGAAGTAACAAGACGTCATTGATATCATTTTGGAAGTGGAGGGGGGTAGGGGACGGATTGCGCATACCAAGGACGGAGGACATGATAGCCATGCAAGGGCGCTCCCGCTGTCCGTTCGGGTTGCGAACTCGGAGGACCTTCAACGGAGGAAGGCGAATTGGCTTCTGAGACGCCGACATCTTTGAGGCTCAAATGCGGTACCCGATCGTAGATTGATGCCGTCAGTCGAATTTCGCGTGGGCCGTATGAAGAATTTCGTATGGGAAGAAAAGAAAAGTTGGGTCTAACGGAAAATAGATAATCACGTGATAGATGGGATGGGATGAATGCGTCTTGCGCTGAGTCTAACCTAATCTAGAAACGTTCCTTTCAATCGCTTGTCTTAAGGCTTATTTTCTACGTCCGTGCTCGAATATCAAACCGTCCAACCAGCAACCTGCATTGCATCTGATAATTTTGTCACGATCCACACCACTGTACCATAGTAGATGAGAAAAGGTGTTGTGACGACCTTGCATGTGCATGGCATACCCGTCTTTTGGACCTGTCAATCGCATGCTTTGATTGGCATTCAATGTGGTACACGTAATTCCCATGCGTTGCATTTCCCACAGCACGAATTACAGACAGGGAGGTAACCTTGTTGAGGCTTGCTTACACGAAATCGATTGCTCCGAGATTCTGGCCGCGACATCGGCGTCTCCCTTTGTGGGAGTCTGTCGCCGTTGGTTTTTTCAGAAATAGTAACGAACTGTCAAATTAGACGGCTTAGGGCCCTATTACACATCATTCAAGTGTCTTGAGGATCTCGAAAAATCGAATGATTTGTTGTCAACTTCTACAACTTCAGAGATTAGTCTAGATGCCAAGTTTAGCTTACGCATCTTGTCCTCAGTTAGACCCTAGTAGACCGTGGCCTATACCTAGGTAGGTATATTCACCAGTGATCACAAAAGAGATCTTGGTGTAGCCCGACTTGAGGCTCGTTGATGTCATGAGCTGTGTTCAGCTCCCACCTTGTTCTCTCGGTATAGCCAGTTGTATGTTTCGCCTTTCTGCAAGATCAAGCACAATTAGTTGTTTCTCTTCAGGTCGTACGAAAAGTCGCGCAAAACTAGAATGATTTTAAACGCCCAAAACTAGGTACTCTCGAGTCTCCACCCGCTACAATCTCAACGTAATGCTGCCCGGACAATTGGAACTCGCAAGCAAGATCGAGCACATGATGACCCCTTGTTAGCCGCTTTATTAGTTGGTTTTGGTCACGCTTTCGATCCTCGGCTGATGGATAGGTACTGATTGATAAGATAATTTTCGCGGTATCCGCTTTTTCTGCATATCTGATCGGCTAGCCCACCTAATCAAGCCTAGCCCGCGCAAAGTCCCTTGGATGTGGGCCACTAGCGTGCCTGGAATGCCCGAATAACCTTCCCGTTTGGAGCTGAATTTTTACCACTAACCACTACTCACGCAACCACACCTTCTTCAGGATTCACCTACTTCTCAGCTCATGTACAGGCGTATGGCGGTTCATAGGATAGTTTTACGTAATTGTTCATTTCAGACTGAAGCGGGAAACAGTGGATCGTGAAGTCTTTGAGCATGATTTCGTCAGCTTCGAAGTAGCACCTAGGACCAGTTTTCCCCTTCTCGGTATGGTTACTACTAATCAATACTGAATTTTTGATGGCGATTTATATTAGCTCTCTTGGCCAAAAGAGCTCCCTCCACTCCGGTCGCGATGCAACCCCACTCTTTTAGCTACTCGTAGTGCACTCGGCCCAGACCCAGAGATCAAAAGTTAGGTTACGCCTTTCCCACCCTACCTTTCTCCGTTATAGTACAGGTACTTCCAGTCTATGCCCTTTGAATAAAAGGGCAGACTCGGCCACCTGAGATTATCTCCCGCTTCTTCACTCGGCCTCCATCCCTCCAGTTCTCGGCCGAGGATATTATTGTATGCATACAAGTATACAATAATAGCTCGGGCGCGTCCTGCAATTATTCAAATAGCTGGTCATTCCCCATCCTACGCTAGTGAATCCTCTCAGGGCCAGTCGGTCAACACAAACCGCGCTTCATCCGTATCATTTTCAATTTGGTTGACAGAATATTGCTCAAGTTACAAGCAAAATGAGAGGACCGCTTGGTCGGTTTACCCACCCTACCGAGGTGCCGGTGGAAGAGAAACCACGCAACGAAACCGATAAGGAGGTCGGGGTAGTCGATAATCAGCCTCGCAATGGCGAAAACGACAGCGATCCCGATTCCATCGACCAAAATGCCCAAGCCGGTGTCCAGAAGATCGAGGCCACAACCAAAGTATGGTCTAGATCCAATTTGATAATGGCTTATGTCTTGTACGTTACTATTAATCGGCTGTCCACGTGCTCTATTGTATCCATAAACTAACAGAGCTATAGCATCTGGATTATCTACTTCGTCGACTCTATGCAACAAGGAATGGGCACTCTTTTGACCCCATACGTTACCAGCGCGTTTGCCCTTCACTCGCTAACTGCCACCACGGGTGTCATGTCCGGCATCTTTGGCGGCGTTTCGAAGCTCACTCTTGCCAAAATTCTCGATATTTGGGGTCGTCCACAAGGTTTCTTATTTGTCGTCATTCTAATGACTATTGGTCTTGTCATGATGGCGGCATGTAATAACGTTGAAACTTATGCAGCTGCACAAGTCTTCTACTGGGTTGGGTAAGCATTGTAATCGCGGGCCGTTTATTCAGCCAGGTACTGACTCGTTCTAGATACAATGGAATTAGCTACTCCTTATCCGTTTTCATTGCAGATACCTCGCATTTGAAGAACCGAGGTCTAATGCTGGCCTTCGTCTCGTCACCCTACATCATTACCGTCTGGATCACTAGTCCTGTGGCCCAGAGCGTCCTCGGGGGTATCGGCTGGAGATGGGGTTTCGGTATTTTCTCCATCATCACCCCGATCATGTGCCTGCCCTTATTCTTCCTGTTCACCTGGAATTATCACAAGGCAAAGAAAGCGGGATTGATTGTCTCTACCCCCAGCGGCCGAACCTTCTGGCAGAGCTTCAAGTACTATTTCTGGGAGTTCGACGTAATCTGTCTTATTCTGGTTTCTGGTGGATTCGCGCTCTTCCTGCTTCCTTTCAACATTTATTCCTACCAGTACTACGGCTGGAGAGACCCCTTGACCATCTGCTTGATCATTTTTGGCGGTCTACTCCTGATTGGAGCCGTAGTCTGGGAGAGATTCTTTGCACCAGTCAAGTTCATGCCTTGGGAGCTTCTAAAGGACCGAACTGTCCTCGGAGCCTGCATTCTCGCCGCTATTCTCTTCATCGAATATTACATCTGGACTGCCTACTTCACGTCATTTCTCCAGGTCGTTCTCAACCTTGACGTAACCCAGACTGGTTACATCAGCAACATCTACAGTCTCGGATCGTGCTTTTTCTCATTCATCGTGGGTTTCGCGATCCGCTACACCGGTCGCTTCAAGTGGATTGCATTGTACTTCGGTGTGCCGGTTACCATCCTAAGCATTGGCCTGCTTATCCACTTCCGACAGCCTGGTACTTATCTTGGCTATATTATCATGTGCGAGATACTCTACGCCTTCGCTGGTGGCGCCTGCGTTATTGCCGAGCAGATGGCTGTCATGGCCGCAGCTGCCCATCAGCACGTTGCCGTCGTCCTCGCCATGGAGGGTATGTTCAGCAGTGTAGGCGGTGCCATCGGAGAAACCGTTGCTGCCGCCATCTGGACCGGTACCTTCCCAAAGGCCCTGATCAAGTATCTCCCCTCGGAGTCCCAAGCCGACTTCGCCGATATCTACGGCAAGCTTACCGTTCAACTCTCGTATCCCTGGGGCTCCCCGACCAGAGACGCTATCATCCAAGCTTACGGCGACGGTCTGAGATGGATGTTCGTTGCTGCTACAGCCATTACTGGACTTGGTCTGGTGTCCGTCGCTGTATGGAGGGACATCAAGGTTACAAACCTAAAGCAGGTAAAGGGTCGCGTATTCTAGTCTAACAAGGTACTCACCATAGGTATATATGGGATTCGAAGCGTATTTTCTGCTGATAAAAGAAAATGGGGAGTTTGGGTAGGAGCTGAGTAATTGGGGTATGGGGAGGCATTGGATGTTTCGTTGGATACAGGTAGACGAGTCTAATGTGTAGTATGAGGATGATATAGATTTATGATACCTGCTGGTTCACTGAATCGCGCTCATTGGAATTGGATCTATCCAATAATGTTCGAAAGATGTTCCATTGGTCATATATGGTGAGGTTGTTAGAATATAAGATGATCCTTCGTCTCTCCTCGTCTTCGACAGCCCTCGGATGGGTCCGATCCCTCCCATGATGTGGGCTCCTTTCCCCCGGGCTGTAGGCTTCATCACACCGAACACCAAATTATACCATACTCCTCATAGGAAATCGCTCAAAAGACGGAGTTCTCTCAGCCTCGACTGCTTGTAATAAGTGGACCATGGTTCTGATCTGTAGTGACTCAACTGCGCCTGACTTGAGACCATTAACGATATTGTTGCAACTTTCCCTTAGCGGAGTCAATTCTTGTTCAGTATGCGCAACCTGATCTTGAGTTGTTATAGAACTTTTTTCTGTGTTTCTCGGTCTTTTGGTCAGCCGCCCTTCACTAGGTGAAATGCGCCCTGTTTAGAGCTACTAACTGATCTGATCGCAAAGCCCAAATCCGACCATAAGATAGACATTTCGAACTAGAATCAACGATACCGCTACTATGAGGGATTATCTTGATCGCACTACCCATTCCATTCCATGCATTATCTTGTGCCAAAATCCGCACACTTCCTCGACGTCCCACTCCGCGTACCCGCCTACACTAAGTACGGCTAACCCACAACACCAGTATCCAAAACGGGCCGAGAAGAAGTGTTTATAAGTGAATCTAGCTCATTCGAGTTTTCATCGCAGCTCCACCGCACGAGAACAACATTGTTCGACTAAGTCAAATCTCGATTGGTCTAGTGGTCAGGATACCTGCTTGTCATTCTTCGATGATTAATCTCATCTGAGGTCAAATGCGCAGGTGGCCGGGGTTCGATTCCCCGATCGAGAGTATTGTATCGCGTTCTTTTTGCACCTTTCAGGTGTATTTGGATAAACGCTATATTGTGGTCTCCTTCAACCAGGGGCTTCCGCCTGGCGTTCATTTCTTATCAGCTTCTGCTTCTCCCGATGGAGATACACTGATTTTTCCCATTAAATTCGCTCGGTTAGCAGGGTTGTACCGTCTACTCGAGGTTAAACTCAGAGAAGATCTTATATCAGTTAGTGGCAGCGTCAGACTACGACGAGCTATCTGGATGGGTACTAGGTTTGCCTGTGGCGTGACTATAATCATGTTAGCAACACGAAATCGCGTATTGCAGCAGCTTTTTACTAAAACATCACTTCACCAATTGAAAGTTATTGGTAAAACGAGCGACTAAGATCAAACGCAATACTGCAGTCCGCAAAATTTTTGTCCAAAAGAGATGATCCCACAGATTTCTCAGTGTATAGCTCCTAGAGTTCTAGGCACCTTTTATGGAATGACTTTAAACTCTCTTCTGTCACAGTAAGCTACCGCCAGCAAGTAAGACTCTGAGACCTTGCCACTTCTGTGTAACATTAGGCATTGGTTCTTATTAGACAAGTAGGTCAATTATTGACTGATTGAGCGATGCTTCAATTGAATTCTAGGTTGTACTCTTCTATCTATTCGTCCAAACGACAAAATTCTCCTATGTACCTAGAACACTCACCCAGTGGGATATCACGTGATACCTCGTGTAACCCTCCTTTTTCTTATCAATTGTTATCATTATCTTGTCTGACAAGTTCTTTGTATCAAGATGTAGTTGCTACTGTAGCTTCTTAATTCCCTGAAGCTTGCCAGTGTCAAGCCAATTCTAAATCCATTGAGTGTGGAAGCTCCCTTAGCCGCAATCTCCATGTCAGGGATAGGGGTGAAGCTTGACTAGTTGCGCAAGGGTGAACGACGGCGTATAGAGATGCCGGAGGTTTGAGTAGGAACAAAGAACACCTGAGAAGCATTGTCACCTGACCTTTTGGACCTTTTATAAACACATCTTGAGCCTCCCAAGTGGTGTCAGCAACTAATCCAGGTCGTCTCTACTCTCACCCCTTGAGAGCTCTGTTGGTTACAACCTCTTTCTCTTGACTCCACGTGCAAGTTATAAGCAAATACAGTGTATTTACCTAGACGCAGCTGACGTCACCAGAATAGAACAGCATACGGGAAAGCGAGGGTTGTTGAATAAATATGGATATCTTACATTTCCCACTTCGCGGCGCGGTATCCTGTTGCGCAGATGATTTACTAGCTGCTAAGGTGGTTGTGCCGCCACTCCAACATAGGTCATTTGGCTCTTAATTCTCATGTAAGCTTGCCGCTGAAGCAAAGACCGTCTGCGCTGTTGGTAAGATCGCAATTATAGTTCTTTTGAAAGGTGCCAACGTGTACCAAGCCCATTGAGCAAGATATTTAACTTCCCAGGTGTTTGAGGTGGCCTTTACCTGAGATTCCGGACGTTCCACACAATCTTGGCGAAAGGCGAACACCATGACTGCAACGATTTTCCTCACAGGAGCCACCGGCCTGGTCGGCTTCCGTATTCTCCTCGATGCCCTCTCCGCTGGTCATAATGTCCGCTACGCGGTGCGATCAGAAGAGAAAGCCAAAATAGTCTCCTCGAACCCTCGGATCCAGGCACTCGCACTTGGAGATCGCCTCTCCCAGTTCATCACCCCTGATTTTACTGCCAAGGGTGTCTTTGACGCTGCCCTGCAAGGCGTCACGCATATAATCCACACCGGCTCGCCCGTGCCCATGCCAAACTGCGATCCCAATACGGACGTCTTCCAGCCCACGCTGAAGATGCAGGAAGAGCTGCTATCATCCGCGCTCAAGACGCCTAGCGTACAGCGCATTGTCATTACCTCGTCCAGCGTGGCGAACACCGGTATAATGGCGCCTCAGCACGCCGTATCCGCCTCTACGCGCTTGCCGCCTCCCAGTCCCATGCCGATCTCCTTCGACCACGCTTATGTAGCGTACGTGAATGCTAAAATACTGGCTGTAAAGTTTGCGGACGAATTCACAGAGAAATTCAATCCTCATTTCAGCATATCCCACGTGATGCCCGGGTACGTGTTTGGCCGCAATGAGCTCATGCTCGACGCCCTCTCGGCCACGACGCGCAACAGCTCCAATAGCCTCCTGATGATGGGGATGTTAGGCCAGGAGATACCGGAGCCGCTTCATGGAGTCTACGCGCACATCGAAGACGTCGGGGAGGTTCATCTCCGCGTGGCGTTCCTTGAGCCGAAAGAGGGCGAACCTAAGGACTTTGGTGTCACGACGAAGGTGAACTACGATAACATATTTGATATCGTTGAGGAGGCGTTCCCCGAACAAGTTGCAAGGGGGATCTTTAAGAGGAGCAAGGTGCGCACGCAGCCTGTTGAGTATGACTCGAGCGAGACGGAGAAGTTACTGGGTAGGAAGTTCAAGAGCTTTGAGAGCGCGGTGGTGGATGTGGCGCACCAGTATGCTGGGTTCAAGCCCGAACCGCTCACTTAGTATGCCAAGATTATGCCATTTGGCTATCTTTGCGCACCGATGGGAGTCTCATTGGAAGTAGGATGATAATAGAGCTTCACTCTTGTCATGGAATAGACTGTTCTCTCTCTAGGCCACATATACGTACACTGTTCCACGAACACTGAGCGTGCTGATATGGTACCATCTAATGTAGAAGTGGGGTTGAACGAAGAAGGTTGGCGCAGAAATTAGCGCTGTTTCAGGGGAAGGTTTGGTGCTACGCAGTACCTGACTGCTGCTGTAGGTACCTTGTACAACACACGTCAGGGTGCGACTCATAGTGGGGTAATTTGGGTAATCTCAGCCCTACCATCCCCGTCAGTAGGTGCGGGTCGAGCCGACGTCAACTTAACCAACCTCAAGCGTCGACATCTCCAACTCTTCTTTATCGCGTCATACCTTCTGTTCAATCTCATCCTTTTTCATGCTCAATAGAACTTAAGTCGTATTCTGATTTAGGGATCGTTTCAACTATCCGAGGAGAGTGCGTATTGCGCCCTTGTTTTCCACTGAAACGCACGCCATCTCGAGGAGCTCATCTGCGGAGAGTTACGGTTAAACCCACGCCAAAATGCGGGAGCTGTTCCTGACTGCGTCGGTCAGGGACTCCGACTTCCAGATGGCATGTGCGGTACTACAAGGCCTGACGTGGATGACAGCGCACCAGTCCACACACCGCATACTATTCTTCCATGGTCAACCACAGCCAAAATCTCTCCAAAACCTGCGTGCCTTGCAGGGGTCACGACTCTTACCGCTTTGGAAAGAGCTGAGCAACCAGCTGGCTCGGTCATCATATGTGCTTCAGGTGGCGTACGAAGTTGTCCCGGACAGGGATTTCGGAAAGGAAAATACCATGGACTTTAACACGTTACCTGGTACCCTGCGGTGGACAGACTTGCCGGATCCTCTACGAGACACGCCAGTCACTTCAAGGAAGAAGATTGAGATTCCAGATCAGATCCAGCTACCGATGGCGCTGAACGACAACGGCTTCCGGTGAGATTAACACCTACGCCAGGCAAATATGTACTAGAAATGATACTAACGGATTGTGCTAGGTATACAAATGAGATGATACAAGAGAGCCGCTCGTTCGTCAGGGATAACGTCGAGTTCGTCTTTAGCAGATACTATCATCTACCAGATTCTCCAGGCCGGCCAGTGGCCAGTTTGCCAGCCTTTGCAGATCTACGACCGTTAGATCCGGCACAGAAATGGGTGTTGAATGTGAAGCTCAATGTTCTTGATGATAGCCAACCTGATAAGATCAAGAAGGCGATGGAGGAACTGTTGAATGTGAAGGCGGAGCTTGACAAGATCTTCGACTTCAAGCCTATCGACCGACGAGTCTTTGACACGAGAATTGCGCCTCCTCCTGTAATCCCAGGACGGGGATAGACAAACGACGTAGGACGGGCCTTCGTCTAATATACTGCACGTACTAACACGAGATCCATCAATTCTGATATCCGAGTTCTACATCACGGAATCGCTTATACAGAATTCAAAGCAGATATATCTAAATCTCTTAACTCCCGGCCCGGGAATCTAATTAAGATGGATTGATAGAGGTAATTGAAAAAAACAGACATGCAAAATAGCCCAGAGACAAGTTTGCTCGGTACTACCCCTGAATCATGAGATGGGACTGAGTGTGATAACTAAGGTACCAACTTCTATTTAGCTAGGTGTTCAAAGCCTAAGATGACGTTTCGGCGGATGTATGAAGTTTGTTCAAGTTTGTTCATTACGCGAGGTACACTTTTCAGCCAGCTACTTGAGGCTATTGAGTCAATTTTATCTGGTTCCTAGTTAGCGAGTGGGCCAGACGTTCTTTCCTCGACAAACGCCTACCAAGGCTGCGACGCGTTCTACCTAAGGTTCAGACTGGGATGATACAATGCCGTCGTTGCTGTTTCCATCATTCTCCCCTCCTTCTCTAGCTTCTCTAGCTTCCCACCGCAGTCCTAAGGCCGGACCACTTGCTGCTAGATTGGCGACCAAAAATTTCTGCAGTGCACACACTCGCCTAGCAACTAATTCTTCCGTCACTAGGTGGTCTATCCGCACCAGCTTGTCTTCCCGCCTCGCGCTTCTCTGGTTCTTGTTGACATTTCATGGCCAGCGCATGTTTCCATGTCTGTCATCTTGCTCATGTCAACCTAGTCATCTTCGTCGACTAAGCTTATCGTCATTGGCAATTAAGAATATTCTCGCCGAGTGACACCGTACCTGCAAACCAGCCTCATTGACTCACCTTACCGCCATTGACTGCCTCGTTATCGTCGGCCCTTCTTTATTTCCCCCCGCCTTACACCGAACTAATAGGACGCACATCGCCATTATGGCCTTCTACGATGATGGCGATAAGAGCAAGCGACCGGAGGGTTCTCGCAACTTCCCACTGAACTTTCCCGGTCCAGGCGAGATGCGCCGCGCCGCTGAGC